AGGTCCAAGAAGGAGTTGGCATAAACTCCTAGGGAATCAAGATGGGTGAAGTGAGTCAGCACGACTGGAAACAGACTAGAGAGGTAAGAGCTGAGGGAGACAGCATCACTTTTTGACCAGAGCAACCTAAAAGCACAGTGATGAGATGAGGAGGGGACTCGAGGCCGAGTGTTTGGTTATAATCCTGGATATGGGGTGGGCAGGCTGGAAAAATAGGCTTGGAGAAGACTGAGTATCATTCACCCAGGGAGAACAAGCCTACAGAAATATAGAAGAGAGAGCGGGGGGATCTCAGAAAAGGACCCTAAGGTCCCCCTTCAAAGAAAGCAGAGAGCATGTACCAAAGAAGTCTTCTGGAAGAAAGCAGTGTCAGCTATGTTTCCAGCTGGGGAGAAGTTCCAAGAAGACCTAAGAGTCCATCCCCACTTTGGCATCACGGAAGAAGCGGGAACCCTGGCTGGAAGTTCTGGGGTGAAAACGTAACTAGAGTGGTTTAAAGAGATGGCATAAAAACTGCCAGAAGACACAGACATTCCACGTTGTGTGAGAGACGCGCTGGGGGAAAGAGGCGCAGGGACACAGCCGCGATGGTCTGTCTGAACTGGGAGATGCTATGGGCTGTAAGTGGACCCAGTGGGCCTGCTCGGAAGGGTCCAGGCAAAGTCAGAGACAGGTGAGCCCAAACAAGACCGCGCTCGGGAACCAGAAGGGCCTATGTTAGCGCAGGATCAGGGGACACCAGGTAGCCGCGGGATGTCTACACAAGCTTCCTGGGACAAGTGGCCTCTGAAACAAGCTCCTAGGACCAAGTGGAGGGAGCGCAAGACAAGCGACTACACTTACATCTTGTCCTTTTGGTGCTGTCGTTTCCCCATGGCAGTGACCGACGGCAGAAACACTAAACCGGAGAGAAGACCTCCGAGAATCGCCGAAATAGATCCAACCGGAACCTAGGCCACTTCCGGGATCCGAAGCCCCCCCCCCCCGCCCCGGAAGCGATAGCTTAGCATGTCGGGAAGTGTGTCTTTGGCGTCGAGTCCGCATGCCCAGTCGGCCCTGGGGCGAACTTGCCGCTTTGGCTGATTTTGCGCACGCGTAGGTGAGATTCCTCTGACTTGAAGCCCTAGCTACTTCCCCTGTCTTCTCTCAGGATCACCACGCTCTCTCATCTGGCCGCAGCGTACTTTCAGCGCCCTTCAAACCTGTATTGGGCAGTCCAGGCATCTTTAAAAAAAGCCCACCTGTAATTTCAGATCCCACTAAACTTGGCCTCTCCCTTCCACACTAGCCTTTACAGTCCCATTCTCCTTGTAGCGGCCACTGGTCACCAAGAGTGGAAGCTCCCACCCTCCTGTTAGAGGATCCCTCCCCTGCCTAGATCTGTATGCCTTCAGCTTCTGGCCTGCCTACATTCGGGTCCAGGGAGTCTTGCCCAGGCTCGTAATTTTTAAAACTATTTGTATCATCTCATGACTTGTAATGCTAATGACTGCTGACCTTTACTGAGTATCCACTAACCTTGAAGTCTAGTCAAGGTAAAATTCTCCACACCTCTCAACTCTTTGACACCAGTAGTCAAGAAATGAAAAGACTTTCATTTTAATTTTTATTCCATTTTCTTTAATGGTAAAAAACATGTATGAGGATACAAGGAGGTAAGGGTAGGGAGCAGAAGAGTGAGGATAGGCAGGGGTGAAACCACAGGGCTACACAATTTGGTGGGTAAGACTTGCATTTGTAAAGTCTGCTGTAAAGGAACTCTCCAAAGCACTGAGGATCAATCATGTCAGTCTGAAGACTTAAATTGTCCCTGACTCAAATCATGGTCTTTAAAAAAAAATTTTTATATATATACACTGGTTTGCTTACAAAGTTCATATAGGTTTCACATGGCATCTTTCCCATTTCCCTTACCCACCCCTCCCTCTACCCGTCAAATTATGTGACCCTAAGATTACCCCACTGCCTATCCTCATCCCTCTGCTCCTGCCACTCCCCTTGGATCCTCATACCTGTTTTACTAGTTCTCTATTTGTACAAAAATGGCCTTATGCAGTATTTGCCCTTATGGAACTGAGTTAGATCACTTAACATAATGCTTTCCAGTCCCTCACAGATTATGCAGTAATTTTCTAAATCATTACCCCTGCATGCTACGTAGTATTCCATCATGTGAATGTCCGTAATTTCTCACTCTATTACATTGTTGGACATTTGGGCTACTTCCATGTTCTTGTGATGGTGAATAATGCTGCTATGAATACTGATACAGAAATCTCCATTTGTGTCTAATTTTCATTTTCTTGGGGTATATTCCAAGCAGTGGAATAGCTGGGTAATAAGGAATTTCAGTGTTCAGCTTTTTGAGGAAATGCCAAACTGCCTTCTAGAGTGGATGTATCATTTCACAATCCCACTAACAGTGTATAAGAGTTCTATCTCACCACATCCTCTCCAACATTTATTACTTACTGTCCTGTTAAACTTTACCACTGCTAGTGAATTGATGCCTTTGAGCTGTGGTGCTGGAGAAGAGTATTGAGAATACCATGGACTGCTAGGAAAACAAACAGATTTGTCCTGGAAAGGGTTAAACCGGGTGGCTCCTTGGAGGCAAGGATTCTGAGGCTCCGTCTAACATACTTTGGACATGTTGTGAGGAGAGACCGGTCCTTGGAGAAGGACAACATGCTTGGGAGGGTGGAGGGACAGCGCTGGAGGGGAAGGCCCTCTATGAGGTGGATTGATTCAGTGACTGGGATAATCGGGATGGGAGTGTCAGAGACAGTGCGATTGGCACAGGACAGAGCAGAGTTTAGGGCTGTTGTACATAGGGTCGCTATGAGTCGCAAGTGACTCGATGGCACATAACAACAACAACAACAGTGCAGTGAGATGCGGTTGATTTGCATCTATCTCATTGCCAGTGATTTTTAGCATTTCTCTATGTTGGGCATCCAATTATCTTCCTCTGTGTCTTTTGCTCATTTTTTTTTTATTTTTATATTTTGTGTGTGTCAAATCAGATCTGGCTGGTACAGGTGGAGATTGTCCCTCCTTTTCCAGCAGAGCATCTGGTGGATTTGAAACACGCACCTCTGGGATTGCAGTGCAGCTTCTTGCCACTAGGCCACCAGAGCTTGTCCCGTATCTTTTGCTCATTTTGCAATGGGTTATTAGTCTTTTTCTTGTGGAGGCCCTGTAGGAGTCTGTAAACTTTCATTGTTGTTGATTGCTTTCAAGTCGAGCACTCATAGCGACCCTATGAACAAAAGGCCTGAAGCCCCTCTACATTTATCAAAGTTTATAGAGCATGTCAAAAAGTTCATTGGAAGCAGGAGTAGCATCCACTTCCTAAATAACACGCCTCCAGAAACTCTATGCTTTGAGTTGTGATGTTGGAAGAGAGCTGAATATCCCATAGACTACCAAAAGTACAGATAATGTCTTAGAGGTGGTGAAGCCAGAGTGGTCCTTAAAGGTAAAGATGCAGAAACTTCATCTCACATACCTTGGGCATGATTTTAGGAAGGGCTATTCCTTGGAGTTCTGTCAGAAGCTGTGATGCAGTCCCAATTGGCTGTGGTTTGAATGCACCAGCTGCTCCAAGAGAGGATAGGGAGTCTCCTCCCATGTGGTTTGCTGCCTCTGAAAACCTGCTGGAGGGTCCGGTCAGATCTAATTCAATGGCACACAACATTCCTTGGAAAAAGACATCAAGGTGGTCAGCAAAAGTGATGAAGACCCTCAATAAGATGGATTACTACACTCTGTTGATGAACTCAAGTATGTCCAAGATGGCATAGGACAGGGCAAGTTTGAGACCCATAGGTCATGGGGTCACTGAGTCATACTCAACTTGATGACACCTAACACAACTCAACTCTATCCTCCAAATTTCCTGAAGGCATCTCCACTCACTGGAAGCCAGCTGTCCTTTCCCCCGATTTTATGTACTGTTGGCTGCCTAGCATTCAATGTAATGACACCTTCCCATGCAAACACCTTCCTTCACACCCTTAACCCACATGACTGTCCTAGACTTTGCCATCTCAGTTCCCATTAAGCTTTTTATCAGCATTTACCCCTATTAATGTCACCTCTGTGCCATTTACACCCACCTCCTCACAGACACATACTGTATTAATTACCTGTGGGCAGTTCATTATAAGAAAAGCTAGTGCCTGCTTGTTCAGCATCTTTTTTTATTTTATCATTTTGTGTGTGTGTACTGTCAAATCAGATCTGACTGGTACAGGAGGAGGACATTGCCCCTCCTTCTCCAGCAGAGCATCTGGTGGATTCGAACCATGCACCTCTGGAATTGCAGTGCAGCTTTTTGCCACTATGTTCAGCATCTCTTAATGTGCTTCCTTCCAAGGGCAGTGAATGAGGACTTGTACTTCACACACAGGCTTGGTCAGGTGGGGGTGGGGGTGGTGTGTGCCATAGCTGATCTCCCAGTGAGTTCTCAGAGGCAATAAATCACATGGGAGGAGACCGCCCATTCTGGTAGATTTGGTGTGCCTTTAGGATTGCAGCGTAGCTTCTTACCCCTAGGCTACCAGTGGTCCCAGAAGTCAGGTCCTAGGTGTAAGTCATACACTTTTGAAAGGCCTTAGGAAGAATGGTGCTAAGTTGGAAAGGCACAAACCCCCTCTTATTTCTCCACGGAGAACAGAGATCACAGTTCCCAATCTTGTACACCAAATAAGGTTTGTCTGCAGTGACCTAATATAGGAGAAAGATAGCTCACTTGTTCCTTTTGCAGAGTACATGTGACTGGGTTCCCATGTTAGTGGACAGGCAGAGTGCTGATCTGACTCCTGACTGCAGGCAGGCCTTGGTTATTCCACCCTGCTAGAAGCTGCAGATCACCCCTAGTAAGCCCAGCATCCACCCCTTGCACAGCATGGCACAGCACCATCACAGGAACTTTATTCATTCATCAGGCCATATGTGTAGGGAATGGCTAGGGGTTCCTATGATGAGAGACCAACTCTGAGATGCCAGGGTCGTTCTTGGGGTCACCTTCAGGTCTGGGCACAGGCTGGAACTTGACGAACACAGGTGGAGCGAAGATGGAGGTTTTCACCAGAGAGGATGGTGTCTCCTTGGTGGTGGAGGTATTGGTACCAGCTGAGGTCCCGCACAGAGATATCCAAGAGGTGCCCAGGAGGCAGCCACTGGCACCTGATACCATGTGCCATCAGCACCCTCACTTTCTACCTTCACAAACCTCTCTTCTGAATGTATTCACTGTTAGTCATTGAAACAATGTTTAGGATTCTAAAAACCTAGTAACAAGCCAAAAATGTCCATCAAACCAAAAATCAGCTCCTATGGAGTTGACCCCACCTGACTAACCCATGTGAGACAGGGCTGCATCCCACAGGGTTTTCAGTAGTTGAGAAGCAGGTGGCCAGGCCTTTCTCTCAATGGACTCTAACTTCTAGCCAGGAGTTCAGCAATAATAATAGTTTAAATTTTACTTTGTCATAATGTTGCAAAAATGTCACTCAACTCAGCAATCACTCCGCTTGCTCCCTCTCCTCTGATTTGACAGCCATAATCATGTATCATTATATTCACAATTTTAATGGATGCATATTACTCCATAATTATATAACTGCACTTTTGAAAGGTTTCCTTCATCCTCTCATTTTTACACATTTTTATACACAATGGCTTTTTCTTTTCTTTAATAATTTATTTGGGTCTGGTCCCCAGTACTGAAAACACCTGAGCAAAGGAATGAGAACTTGCAAAAGTTTCTAGCAGTTTTGATAGAACTGCTTTTCAAAATGTCTACATCTTTAATTTTTTTGCTCCAAAGGACATCACCAAAAAAGTAAAAAGACAACCTACAAATGGGGAAAAGTATTTGCAAATCATATATATGAAATGAAATTTGTACCTAATAATAAAAAACTCTTACAACTCAAAACTGTAAAGATGAACAACACAAATTAAAAAATAAAATAAATGGGCAAAAGATCTCAAGAGCCATTTCTCCAACGAAGATACAAAAATAGCCAACATATGAGAAAATGCTCCACACCCTTACCTATCAGGGAATACAAATCACAATCAGCATGAGATATCAAGAAGACAGACATAACTGTTATGAGATTTGAGAGAAATTGGAACATTCATACACAGATGGAGAAAATGTAAAATGGTGAACTCACTTTGAAAAACAGCCTTGTAGTTTCTCGAAAAGCTAAACATACTTACCACATGATCGAGTATAGGGTTTCTTTTAGAAATGATGAAAATATTGTGACAATTATACAACTCTGTACATGAACTTAAAGCCAATTAATTGTATGTTTTAAATGAGTGAATTATATGGTATGTAAATGATATCTCAATTTTAAAAAGGACAAAGTCAATTTCTTTTTTCACAGTAAAAAAAAAAGTTCTAAATGTTGCTTTTATCAACAATCAGCACTTTTTGTACCAGCAGTCACAAGATAGGTGATGTATTGCTTTGCACAAGTCTTCTGTCAGGGACCTTTCCAAAATACTTAAGAGCAGTGATGTCAGTTTGAGGACTAAGGTGCACCTGATTCAGGCCATGGTTGGATTTTGTTGTTTTGGTGGGGGGTTTTTTGCCATGGTCTTTTCAATCACTTGCCATGCATCTGAGGGTTGGACAATGAATAAGGATGACAGAACAATCGATGCCTTTGAATTCTAGTGCTAGAGAAGAGTATTGAATATCCAATGGGCTGTCAAAAGAACATAAACGTATGTCTTGGGGAATGTGCAGCCAGAATACGCTTTGGAAGCAAAGCTTCATCTCTCACACTTTGGGCATTTGTTTGGAAAGGCTATTCCTTGGAGAGAGACATTATGTTTTGAAAGGTGTCAGGTCAGTGAATAAGAGGAAGACCCCAACGAGATGGACTGACACTGTTACTGCAGCAACGTGTCAGTGTGTCACAACTGATGAGGATGGCACAGGATAGGGCAGGGTTCATGTCTGCTGTTCATAGGGTTGCTTTGAGTCGTAGCTGACTCAACAGCACCTAACAACAACAATGCTTTCACAGCACAAAAATGTATCAGTCTGTTTACTGAGCTTTTTTATAGATATATAATGTGTGCCATAACAACCATAATGTGCATCTCTTCCACAACTGAGTAAAAAAACACCTTCAAAAGGTTGGCTTAGTTTTTGGATGTCTTTTTGGTTAAGCTTTCTGATAGTGACTGAATTGTTTTCCTCAAAAATATGCGTTGTGTACCTACATTTGTGGATGCAATTCCATTTGGGAATAAGATTTTTTTTTAATTCTGTGGACTGTGCATTTTAAATCCATTACCTGTAAGCTGTAAAAGAGCAGATGAGGTATGAAGAAGGAAGCTCAGAGGAAAGCCACATGGAGATTCCCAGGGAACTCCAGGGAAACAAGATCTTCTCTCAGAGCAGAGAGCAAGTGTCCGCCTAGAATTCAGACTTTTGATTCCCCTAAATTTGACTTCCTGTGAGAAAATAAACTATCTTCAAAGATATCCACTGGTGGTATTTCAGTTATCACAGCACTGCAAAATGAAGACACACTCAGTTTGAAAGTTCACAACGTCTTTTACCAAACAATGTGAGTTTCTGACATACAAAGTGACCTGTGTCCCTGAGATCTTTAGACAGGGACAGTGCCCACTCTAACAGGGATCACAGTAGAAGGACCTGGACAGAGTGGGAGAAAAATGTGGAGCAAAACTTAGAGTCACAATGACCAGGCTTGCTACCTTTGTCTTGGAACCAAGTTCATCCCTGTGGTTAAAATCACGGCTAAACAACAGATATGCTTAATGAGTGAACACTGGCAGTCAACCCTACAGGATCAAAAGGACAGTATATACACAAGGAGAAAGCTCAGAAGGCAGGAAAGGATAGGGCAGAAAGATGAAGTGGAACAAGAATCAGGGGAAAATGGGTAGAGAGCTGTTATAATGTGAGGATCGTAAGGATCATCATAAAGCAAAATCTGTATGTATGATCACATGGAAAACCATTTAACTGTCTATAAGCCATTACAATGTTCTGTAAACATTCATTCAAAACACAATAGAAAGTTTAAACTTCAGAGGGATACTCAGTGACAGGGAAAATGGTTAGCAACACAGCAAGTGAACAGAGCAGGTGGTAAAAATGTAGCAAATTCCTACTGAACACAAACACCATCACTTGAAAACAATGGATAGGCTTTGTATATAAATCAAAGGGCTGCTCCAGTTGATGGAATTGCTTTTTGTGTTGAGCCCACAACCCTGCTTGCTGAAATGGAAGCACTTGTTGCAGAAGATCAAGGACTGCAGCCTCCTATACGGATTGAAGCTCAACATCAAGAAAACAAAGATTCTCACCACTGGGCCAATTGGCAGCATCAGGATGGATGGTGAAGAGATTGAGATTGTTAACAGCTTTAGTTTACATGTCTCCACAATCAACACTCTTGGCACCAAAAAGCCAGGAAATGAAAAGATATTGCATTGGCAAAGTCTGCTGTCAGAGACTCTCCAAAGTACTGAGGAGCAATGGTGTTACTCTGGAGACTAGAGTGCACCTGATACAGACAGGCCATGGTCTTTGCAATCACTTGCTATATGTCAGAGAGCTGGACAAGGATTACGGATGATAAAAGAATTGATGCCTTTGAGCTGTGATACTGGAGAAGAGCATTGAACATGGACTGCTAAGAGAACAAACAGGTTTGTCCTTAGGAGGGTGAAACCAGGCTGCTCCTTGGAGGCAAGGATTCTGAAACTTCGTCTGACATACTTTGGACATGTTGCAAGAAGGAACCAGTCCTTGGAGAGGGGCATCATGCTTGGGAGGGTGAGATGAGATGGACTGATTCCATGACTAAGGTAATGGGGGTAGGTGTGTCAGAGACAGTGAGATTGGCTTAGGATAGAGCAGGGTTTAGGGCCGTTGTACAAAGGGTCACTATCAGTCACAGGCAACTGGATGGCACATAACAACAACATCATTACAAATTATAGGAAGGGTGAATGGTTTCGTAGCATCCTTGATTCTATCCTTAGGGTCACTCTTGGAAGTGACAACCACCATGAACATTTTTCTAGCTCTCAGATGTCCTTTGATTTATATACAAAGCCTATCCATTGTTTTCAAGTGATGGTGTTTGTGCTCAGTAGGAATTTGCTACATTTTTACCACCTGCTCTGTTCACTTGCTGTGTTGCTAACCATTTCCCCTGTCACTGAGTATCACTCTGAGGTGGGTGGGTACTCAGGGGGCTAGAAGAGGGCCAGGACTGTATTCCAGCCCCAGGGAGCTAGAGGTAAGCTTCCCACGGGAAGCCAGGACAATGGAGTTTATAAGCACTGTTTTCAGGCAGGTAGGAGAAATGAGAGCCTCCGGGGTTGAGGACCAAGGGGGTCAGGTCAACCATGTGGCTGTAAGACAGGATAAAAGGCAGGTTGGCTCCGAGCACCCATGATGACCCAGCGTCCCAGGTAGGCCCTGAAACACTGCCTTTCACTACTCAAAGCCCCCATGAACCTAAGTCTCCACATCTGTGAAATGGGCAGAGTGATCCTTGAACCCTATTTAAAATAGGTAGAAGATTCATACAAGATTGTTATGAAAAGTAATAGAGAAGAAATGACAACCAATCGTGGTGTCCCCAAAATGTTCTTTGTCCTTTTCCCTAGAGCCCAGAATAAATGCCTTCCACCTTTTCAGGTTTGATGACAGACCAGTCCAGTTTAACTTCTCTTCAGAACTTGAAACTTCCCCTTTCTCCATCTGCAGGAAGCAAATGGCATCTTCAATGAGTTCAGGGTCCCCATCATGAAGATACATAGAACTGTATGCTTTCCTTCATCCAGCAAACACATCTGACAGGTCCCATTTGGCTCTCCTGAGCTCAGCTCTAGGAGTTTAAAGGACAGGATGTGGGGAGCTGGCTGAGGAGATGCTAACTCAGTCTGGTATAGAGGGCTTCCTGGGGAAAAAAATTCTCAAGTGAGCCTTGGGAGATGCAGGTGGGAAGGAAAGGAAGCTCATGTGGGGAAGACCATCCATGGAAGAAGCCAGAGGGAGACCTGGGAGGTGCTGAGGTTTCCACCTGTACTTTGGGGATGCTGAGGCTGGGAACTCT